TTTAAATTTGATCCTTAGTCTCTCCTGATGCACTGGATAATCTGCCCTGTGCTAAGATGTCAAATCTACTAATGCGCCGCTCAAACTAAAGCAACACTTTGTCCACACCTGACGTGTGGCTGCACAACTCCACCTATTCAGCAGACAACTGCAACGTGAAACTCATTTGTCGCCAACCAGTGCTAGGTAATACTAGTGAGCATTATACTTGTAATTGTCTGTAAATTGAGAATATGTTTAATATAAAGGGCAGGCAAAATCATTAAGCATATTCTTGTGTTGGTGTAGTAGTACAGTTAGCAATCTGACATAGGAATGTGAGATCTGCCTTGAGGCAGCACCACAAAAAACAAAGTTTATGAGCACTTCCATACCAACTCATTTTAGCTCATTTGTGCTGAAACTCTGCATCTATGCCTTTGTTACTTCTAGATTTCACTGTTTGCTGGCTGACCTCTCATCCTGTAAACCCACGCTCATCCAAACCTTAATCAGTGAGGAGAGCCTCTTTTAAAGAAAGTTTCCTAATCAACCTGTTCAGGAATGTTATTACAAGCGTCCGGAACAGGTGGGTTTTGAACCCAGGGCTTTCTGGTTCAGAGATCAGGATACTACCAGTGAACCACAACAGTCCCACGCACATTTCCTTCCAGGAAGACAGCAGACAATAATCAGTTCACAAAAAGGAGATGACAGTCAAAAGTGAAGCTCTTAATGTCTCAGGTTCATATCAGATGACGTGGGGGTCCAGAGTAGGCCTGACAGTGACCAAAATGACAAAAAGGGAAAAAAAAAAAAATCAATCTGCTTGGTTACCTGCTCCTAATCACTGACTTGTAACCCTCCTCTTCTCTTGCTGAATGAATACTGGAAGAGGACAAATCACATTGGGGTAGCCATTGGGAAAAACTCAGTTGGGGAAGGCTTAGGCTCTCCCACTGTAGTACACCAAGGGGATGCAAACGACACAAAATCCATTTGGCTGGTCATGAAATATCTATTGTAAAACAGAATCAGTAATTATAGGTTTAGTGAGGCACATCTGCTGAGCTGCCACAAAAGGGCCAAATGGCCTATTCCCAAATCCACTCTAAGAACCAGCTTTTTATTTAAACTGTGTGATTAGATAAAGAAAATCTGTGAATGAAGAACTACTCATGTAACAGCTCCACAAAATGTAAAACTTTCAGAATCTAATTTAAAAAGTTTTTTTCTTTAAAAAGAAAAGTTTCACCAACTATCAACCATTGTCATTAAAAAAACACATCTGGTTCACAAATGACCACTGGGGAAGAACATCTGCCATCCATACCTAGTCTGGCATATGTGTTACTCCTGACTGACAGCAATGTGGCTGACTATGAAATTGCCCTCTGAAACAGCCTAGCAAGCAATTCAGTTCAATGGCAATTAGGGCTGGACAATAAATACTGGCCTCACCAGCGATGCCCACATCTTATGAAAAGTTATTCACACACCTCTTCACAACACAGTGGTCGTACAGGAAATACTGCATTACAGATAGTAGAATTCCAGAGTGGACAAACGGAACGTTGTCATTTATTGCAAAAGGAATGAAATTCAAAAAATAGGAACATTTTGCTCCAAGTGCATAGGGCATTAGTGAGACACATCTGGAGTACTGCAGAGAGTTTGGTCTCCTTATTTCAGAACGGATATGCAGACAGTAGAATTGAGACCACATTTACTTCAGCCATGATTTTATCAAATGGCAGAGCACACACAATTAGCCATTTGGCATGCTCCTGCTCCCAAAAGTCATATGTTTACATATACAACACAATTGGACTGGTTTATGAAAATGCCCTCTGTTTAACAGCATGTCAACACTCCCTGTCTAGACTCAAATGTGCAGTGGGGAGTCAGAGGGTTGTTGGCTCTCATTATGCTGTATTGCAGAAATAAATCGAGCACCTTGGACAAAACTGAGTGTGCACCTTTAAACAGACGTCAAACGTGGCTTAGATAGCAACATTTTTGCCTCTGAGTCACAAGAATCTCAGTCCCAGGTCCCACTCCAATATTTAAACACAAAAAAATCAAGGCTGACACTCCAGTGCAGTGCTGAGGGAGTGAAGCGCTGTTGGATGTGTTGTGTCTCAAAAATTAAACTGGGTCATAGAATCCCTACAGTGTGGAAACAGGCCATTCAGCCTATCAAGTCCACTCTGATCCTCTAGATAACATCCCACTTAGACCCGCCCCACCATCCTGTATTTCCCATGGCTACTCCATATAGCCTGCACATCCCTGGACGCAATGGGCAATTTAGCATGGCCAATCCACCTAACCCGCACATCTATGGATTGTTAGAGGAAACCGGAGCACCTGGAGGAAACCCACATAGACACAGGGAGAATGTGCAAACTCCATACAGGCAGTCACCTGAAGGTGGAATTGAACCCGGTCTCTGGTGTTGACAGGCAGCAGTGCTAACCACTGAGCCACTGTGCCGTCATGGGTGGATGTCAAAGATCCTAGACATTATTTTGATGGAGAGCGGGACAGTTCTCCCCCATGTCCTGACCTTAAATTTACCCTTTGAACATCACAAAAACCAACGATCTTGTCATTACTACATTGTTGTTTATGTCAGTTTGCTGTATATAAATTAGGTGTCGATGTTCCTACCTTACATCATAATTGCGCTCCAAAAGTATTTTGCTCATTGTAAAGAACTTTGGGACATCCAGGGATCCTGAAAGCTGCATATAAATCCAGGCTTTTCCTTTCCTTTCAACATAAGTGACCCAAAGCATTTTACAGGTGCACTACTGAAAGGTGTGCTACTGAACAGCTTGACATTGAATCATTTCAGGAGATATTATGGTAGGTGGCCAAAAGATGGTTAAAAACCGTTCTAAGCAGCAACTTAAAAGGAAGACGGAGAGGTAGAAAGGTTTAGGGAGGGAATTCCAGATCTTGGGGCCCAAGGCAGCTGACAGCACAGTCACCAACGGTGGACTGATTAAAATTGGGAATGCTCAAGTGGTCAGAATCAGAGAAGCACAGAGATCTCAGAGAGTGTGGGGCTGGGAAGGCTACATAGAAAATGAGTGGGAAGTTAAGGCCATAGATAGGCTTGAAAACAAATATGGGAATTTTAAAACGGGGGCACTGCTTAACCAGGTGCCAATGCAGATCAACAAACATAGGGCTGATGGATGAAGGAACTTGGTATGCATTGGGATAGGGGCAACAGGGGTTTAGGTGACCTCTGGTTTCTGTAGGGTGGAAAGTGGGAGACAATAAGGATAGCATAATGGAACAGTCAACCAAAGGTTTGAAGGAGGGTAATAACAGGAGATGAGCTGAGGTGTTGTGGAGACCGCAGTGTTATGGAGATGGAATCTGCAGTCCTAGCAATAGAGGATAAGCATCAAAAGCTCAACTCAGGGCCACGTTACACACCAGGTTGTGACAAGTCAAGGTTACGTTCAGACCAAAAGCATTACTTCCCTTTCCAGACACTAACTTATTGTGTGCATTTTCTGTTTTTATCCAGTAATCATGCTGTAATGCTTGCCATTGGAATTTGTGTAAGAACATATATCTGTCCAAATGTGATGCTCCGCATCCATAGTATTAATTCTATGGTAACACAGTCTGGTCCCATTCATCAAGAGCAAGCACCAAGGGTCCCCTAAGCCACTCAACATCTCAGAACTATACCCTGTCAGAAGCTTATATTTTCCAAGAAAGTAGAAATTCTGAACTCTCCAAAACCTGGCAATGCAGTTTGGATATTTCGACCTAGAAGGACAAGGGCAACAGATGCACGGGAAAGCCTGCAATGTGCCCTTCAAGGCATATACCATCCTAACTTGGAATTAGATTACCATCCCTTCACTGTTGCTAGGTCAAAATTCTGAAACTTCCTAACAGGATTGCAGGTTCACCCACACAACAAGGACTGCAGCGGCTCAAGAGGGCAGCTCCTCACCTCCTTCTCAAGGGTCAATTAGGAATAGGGCAATAAATGTTGGTCTAAGTATTGCCACCTAAATCCTGTGAAAGAAATTTTTTTAAACTGTCTCAAAGTTTCCCAAACATCACATTGCATTTCCATTAGGAACCCCAGGAATGCTGCCTAAACCTTTAGATATTCTGCCCTAACAGCAAGTGAGATCAGGGCCATAACAAAGATGGCGGGAGTGAAAGGAACCAGGTTCCTGTTTTATGGCATTCTGTATTGTCCCACTTTCCCCTCACACATACACTTATCAGTTTCTCACTGTTTAAATAGTAAGCACTGACATCAAGGTGACTTGATTCAGCCCAACAAAACAAACAGAAAGTTAACATTAAAACTAGTTAGTACTAATTAAAACAATGTTTCTGCCACACACACCAACCTTGGAGTAAGGGGATCAGATGGGGTCAGTGTTTAACACCTGAGCAAAATCTTAGGTAGATTGTTGTCCTATTGATATAGGCAGGAAGTAAACGTTAAGTGAAAATTTCGACATCGGTCAGGACAACCAATGCCAACCCCTTCCCCAACATCCCGCAGACACTTCTGTATGCTAATGCATGCTCAATCCAGCTTCTGGCACTTCAGCCAAGCATTTGCTTTCCATTCTCAACAGAAACAGTGACAACACGGCTCAACCATGGCAAGCATCACTTCAATCCTGCTCTCATTCGATTGCTATGGGCATGGGGGACTGGGACCAACTGCTCATGGGGAAGATCAAACACTGCCTGTTTCTGGCCCATAACATCCATATACTTTCTAGTACAGATAGTGGTCACTGGTGTGAGAATTCAAGCTCCCTTTCTTAGGCCTCAGGCATTGAGGAAAATCAAAGCAAACTCTGTTGCCACTCCATCTTAGAACAGGCAATTCAGCATGGGACAATTTACGCAAACCCATTCTGACACTTAACTATTTAGCCCACAAGACATGTAAAAACAGAATCAAGAGATAAACGTAGAATAAAAATTTTGTCTTGTATATAAAAATATATAGGCTTTACCATGTCTCCATGGGTCTTTTGGCTCCACAGCTCCAGAAACGATGGCCTCGTCTGAGGGAAAGGTTACCCGCTTCACGCTTTGCTTTGCCCGGCTGTCCACTGAGGGCGAGAGCAAAGTGGCATCACCAGCCTGGTCCCGGGAGGAGGAGGTCAATGCAAGAGGATGGGAGATGTCGCCCACTGGGGAGAGCAAATCCAAACGCATTCGGGACGAAACAGAATGTTCAGTGCAAGCGTTGCTTGCTGAAGTGTTTATCTGTAACCTGGCAGTGCCTGCTGCCAGAGGTAATGGCCCCTCACCGTCTGAATCAGTTGACCTACACTCCTCCTCCAACTGCTGGTCTGCAGAATTCTCTTCTTCCAAAATCAATGTGCAGTTTGCCTTCTCCTGGTTTACACCTCGCTCCTCGCTGGCCTGTTGTGTCATGTTTGTATCCGCCTGCTGCATCGCAGTCAGTTCCAGATTTCGGCAGTTCCTCTCGCTGTCCATTTCTTTGCTGCTCTCACTGTTGCTGGTGTTTGGCTCCCATTTTTGCAGTTCTTCAATTTTCACTTTCTGCAGTCTTGTCTCTGTTGACACACACTGTGTGAATTTATCTGTCGTTTGTACAGTAGACATGTTCTGTCTCCTGTCCTTTTCTTCCACTGTCCCTGTCTCAAGGCAGTTTTCCTCTACCATGCTTTCTTTCACCACACAATTGGCTTCACGCACGCAGAGTTCCTGGTCTATCCCCTCCTCTTTACCCCTTCTTGCAGATTTCTCTGTCAGCAGATCTTTGCCTCTGGTACCGTTGCTCCCTCGTTCCTGGTGCATTCTTCCCTTCAATTCTCCTCCAAGTTTCTGTGTGGATTCACTGTTTCCTGCCTCATACTTCCCATCCTCTGACCCCAGTTTGTTTCTCCCACTCTCTGAACAGCTTCCCTTCTCAGCCTCTGAAATGAGTGTTCTCTCCTGCCTCCTCTCTTCCTTGGGATCTCCCTTCATCTCCTTATTTTCTAACAGGCAGTCACCAGTCGCTCCTTTCACACCTTTCCCATCATAAGGACGGACTACCTCTTCCTCAGTTGAGGATGCTCCCGACCCACTATTAACCATTATCTTGGTCTGGTTACCATTTATCTCTATTCCCCTCTGGCATGGATGGTCTCCACTTCCACTATAAGTACTCTGTTCTTGGACATTATTACCCTGATTGCTGCAGCTAACCTCTCCCAGATTATCACTATTCTCCTGATGACAGTGGTGTCCCCTGACAGAAGTATTCTCAACAGCCATGTCGCTTACAATATTAGCACCCTGACCATCATAGAAGCCCAAACTTTGATTAGGATTAATTACTTGGTGGATTTCCAGTCTATCAGCCTGACTGCAGCAGTTGCCCACTCTCAGTTCAGTCTTACTCTCCAGCTGGTGGGTCTGGTCTCTCCATTCAGGGGTACTAACCTCTCTACTTCTCTGATGATCATCTCCCAGGGTATTATCACACTGACTATGACAGTAGCCCTCTCTGAGGTCAGTATTATTCTTCTGCTGCTCTTCTGGGTCAGTATTATTATTTTGACTACGGTTAAAACCACCCTGAAGCTGGGAATCAGCCTGTTGCAGGGAATTATTAGCCTTGTTATGGCAATAATTATCTCTAAGGTGTGTATTATTCACTTGCTGCTCTCCTGGGTCAGTATTATTACACTTAGTGTGGTTAAAACTTCCCTGAAGCAGGGAATCAGCCAGTCCTGGGGTATTACCACTCTGACCGTGACAGCAGCCTCCTCTTGGGTCAGTATTCTCTATATGGTGGCTTTGGTCTCCCCTGAGAGGGGTATTACCAACCTCCATCACTTCCAGGGTATTGCGATCCTGAATATACCAGTAAATCACTCCCAGTTCAGTATGATACTATTAGATCAATATTATAAGGCTGATAATGGTTAACGCCTTTTTGGAACTAGCGAGCAGCCTGTCACACTGTATTACTAACCCAAATATGGCAACTGCCCTCTCCTAAGTCAGTATTATTGCTCTTAACTGTGAATGTTAAAGCTTCACTAGAGCTGGAAATCACCCTGTTCCACAGAATTATGATTCCAATTATTGCAGTAATTCTCTCCTAAGTTAGTATTATCGCTCTGATTTAAGCATGGATTTGGAAATTAGCCTGCCCAAGGATAATGGTCTCCGAACTATAGCAATAATTCTCACGGTAGTATTACCTGATTTTGCTGCTGTCCTAGGTCAGTACCATTATCGTGACTGTAGTTAAAGCTTCCTTGCAGTTGCTCTAGAGAATTATTACACGGATTAAGGCAGTAATTCTCTCCCAGGCCAGTATTATCCTCTTGCTGCTCTGACAGGTCGGTTTTACGACTCTGACTGTAGTTAAAAGCTGCGGACAGCAGTTCACTCCCAAGGACAGCACTGTTCTCTGGCTGGCGAGTTTGAGCTCTCCTTCACCTACATCCCTTCCCTGGAGCTGGGGATGGGGAGAGCTTGGAGCCGATTCTTCCTCCCCACCCCCACCCCCCTCCCACCGCTGTCTGGAAAGGGGGGTGGTGGTGGTGGTGGTGGTGGTGGTGGTGGTAGTTTAAGGTTGTTTTTTTCTCCTCCCCTCCCCCCCCAACCCCTCCTCCTCTCACCACCCCACGGGTCTCAGGGACTGACTCCCTCCACCCACTCTGATTATGTCTGCACCTCCGTCCCTCCCTTCCCCCCCGGACTCCCGCTCACACCCCCGCAATTCGTCTCACTACTTGAGGTCCTGGTCCCAACTGAGGCCTAATAAAAGCTCACTCGCCCCCCCCCCCCACCAAATATTGGAGGAAGAAGGACCTCGAGTTAGCGTCTCCCGGGCGGCTGCTCCTGCTGCCTTCCACTGACTGCCTCCATGTCCCCGGCTTTTTTTCTCCACAAAACCCCCTCCCCCTAACGATCCCGATGCTGTCTCCGCCGCGTCTCTGTCTAATCGAATCGATTGTTGTCGGAGGGAGGGCAGGAGGAGAAAACAAATCGCGCACCTCTCCTGCCGTCGGCACTTTCGCCACCACGCGTGCGAACTAAAGATGACGAGAAAATGTATCAATCTTCTCCAGATCGCCCCCAACTCAGAATAACGGCATTTAATTCGCTTCTTTTTTTAATCGAAGAAAATGAAAGGTCCGCCTCTCTTTTGTTTGCGGCGGGAAAGGGGATTCCAGCCCGAATCTGTTGACAGGATTTACCTCAATTATCGTCCGCCTCGCCACGGTGGCCGCCATTTTGGAAAGTCAGGTAAACACAGCGGGCGGTTACAAACTCTCCCCCTTTAAATGTCAACTTTTTATTTTCTCCAGGCACACACTCTTTCTCTGCTTTTCGTCTGCCCTTTCCTGAGCAATAACAAAAACAAACTGAGGTAAAGGGAACAGAATTGTTACGAAGGAGGCCGTTCGGCCCGACGTGCCCTGTTCCCCGCTCTCCTTATGAACCTTGGTGACTGGGTGGGTCCTGTCTCTCGCCTTTATACCGTATGCACATTTCCAGAAATGGGAGGATCCGGCGGGGCGGGGGAAAGCCGAAGGGCGAGGACGTGAAGGGGAGAATAAGAGAAAAGAAAGGGAAAAGGCGTTGGGGGCGAAGCAGGTCGATCCTCAATTTCGTGGAGGCTGCAGGTCCATCCTAGAAGGTTGGTGGCTCTAATGCAGAGCTGGACTTTGTGTCCTGCCCCATCGGTGGAGTTCAGGTTTCTACTGGGACAGAGGGAGTAAGCTAGTGGTCAAGAAATTTGGATCCAGCTGCTGCTCTTGGGGTCTGGGCCCCAGCCTGAGCCCACTTCACCCAAGAGTTTTGGGCCCTATATATTGGTCCTTGCATACACTTGACAAGCCAGTTCCGGGCCCACGAGGAGGAAACGGAAACCGTAAGAAGGATGAGTTATGATCTATAAATATTTAAAATGACTTGAGATAGTATGTGAAAGTTAAAGTTTGTTTTTATTATGATATATGATTTTTCATACTATTCTGTTGGTATCAGAAATGAGTTACAATGAAGAAAGGTTACGAGGTTCGTAGATGAGATAGTTCAGTGGTCATATTTTAGCGAAACACCATTTATGTGTGGACAACTTGGTGCCCATCGACACGGGTTTACTAATAGCCGGGCCGGTTGCCTAGAAACAGAAGAGGAGTATCAGAAAGCATGAAGGGCATTGACTATCTCCAACAAGAGAAAATCAAACATCTCCCCTTCAAATCAGATCTACCAATGATATTGTCGCCATTGAATTTTGACCATCCAGGTCAAAACAACCCACTTGACTGGCACCCCATCCATCACCTTAAACATTCACTTCACCATTGATACACACAATAGCAGCAGTATATACTATTGACAAGATGCACTGTAGCAAGCCACCAAGTCCAAACATATAGCCTGTGCCACTTAGAAAGACAAGTGCAGCTTATGCAAGATCTCTTCAACAAGAAAATAAGAACAGGAGTGAGCCACTTGGCCCTTCAGACCTGTCCAGCCAGTCAATATGATCATGGTCGACCATCCTACTCAGTACCCTGTTTCCCCTTTCATCTTATACCCTTTGATCCCTTTAGCCCTAACAACTATATCTGTCTCCTCCTTGAAAACATTCAGTGTTTTGTCCTCAACTGCTTTCTGTGGCAGAGAATTCCACAGGCTTACCCCTGTCTGGATGAAGAAATTTCTCCTCATCTAACTCCTAAATGCCCTATCCCTAGACTGTGTTCCCCTGGTTCTGGACTGTAAAGTCATCCAGGATATCCTTCCTGCATTTACCCTGTCCAGTCCTGTTAGAATTATGTAGGTTACCATGAGATCACCTCGTCATTCTTCTAAACTGTGGTGATTATAGTCCTGACCAGTCCAGCCTCCCTTCAGTCCTGCCTTCTCAGGAATCATTCTGGTAAATCTTTGTTGCACTCCCTCCATAGCCAGAACATCCTTCCTCAGATAGGGAGACCAAAATTGCACACAATACCCAAGGTGTAATCTCACAAAAGTGCTGTACAATCGCAACAAGGAATCCTTGCTTTTGTACACAAATACTACTCTACCCAAATATCATCATGACTTGGAAACTGTATTGCCATTACTTCACTGTTGCTGAAACAAAATTGCTTCCACTCAAGCTCAGCATGTTCTGAGGAGGCTGGTAAATCCCCAATTGTGATGTGAGGACTCTGCCACAAGTGGGGCAAGTAGTGCTTGAAGCGACAGATGGATGAGGTGCTGGGACATTTGTACACTCTCTCTGTTGCCTGGACTTCACATCTGCACATTTCTGATTTAAGCCTCTTGATATGATTGGTGCCTCCTGGTTGACCCTCCTTGATTTGGGCCAGTCATAAACCAGGGACTTCCAGGAGTTGGCAGAGATGCGATGTTTGACCTTGCCAGGGTAGTCTTGAGGACACCCCTGAAACATTTCCACCTGTCCTCCTAGTCGAGGCCAATTCTGAGTAGAGCAGTTGCTTCGAGCAATTGGTATCAGGCACACAGGTGACATATTTCTGCCGGAGCTTGTTTCCAGGGATTAAAACCTCAATATTGACTTGGAATTAGCATGTTGGCTTAGAATCCCTACTGTGTGGAAGCAGGCCATACGGCCCATTGAGTCCACGTTGACCCTCCGAAGAGCATCCCACCCACGCTCGGACCCCTACCCTATAACCCTGCATTTCCCATGGCTAATCCTATTAACCTACACATCTGTGGACACTGAGGGCTATTTGGTGTGGCCAATCCACCTAACCTGCATATCTTTATAGACTGTGGGAGGAAACTAGAGCACCCAGAGGAAATACACACTGGCATAGAAAGAGTAGGGAAACTCCACACAGATAGCTGCCCAAGGCTGAGATCGAACCTGGGTCCCTTGTTCTGTGAGGTAGCAGTGCTAACCACTGTGCTGCTTGGAAGAGGATGCTGCTGTTGAGTCTGTTGCCTTGCAAACATAATTCACAATCATAGCTAAGAAGCATTTCTTTGTATGTCTCTGATATGCACTGGGTGTTCATCAACCTGGAATAATTTGTAGCATTTCAGTCTATAAGTTCTTTGCACTTCCTCTGTGGTGAGTATACTCATGCTATTACTATATTCTTAGGTTTCTATCTGCCTTATGTATACACAGGGTGAGCCAGATGGAAAAAAGAATTGTTGAGTAAATACCAAACGAGGCTACAAGAGCAAGGGAACTTTTACATAATACCAAATGAGACAAATGAAGTTCTTTGGACATGTTATCTTTGCAGAAGTGTTGGAGCTGAATCACTGGCAGAAGGATTAACAGAAGATGATCAAGAGGCCAACAATGAAGGCTCCAGCTTGAGAATAGTAAAGACTGGCTTAATCAGAACTCCAGAAACAAGGACACCTGCTGATGCTATGATCAGAAAGTTTGGAAGACTAAGACCTTGTAACTCATGTCACTTGGCATGACACTTAGACATTCCTTTTGGTAGCAACTTTCATATTTTTACTAATCTCTGGGTAAAGTGGATTTTCTTGAGTCCCTTACTGGATTTATTTTGACCATTTTCTTTTCACAGTGCCTGGTTGTGGTCTTGCCCACAAGTGGAAACTGCCTCCCCATGCTTACCCTGTCAAACCCCTTCATAATTCTCAAAACTCCCACCAGGTCACCTTGCAGTCTTAATTCTAGTACAGGATGTGAACATCAGCAATTGTTGCCCAAGCCTTTTGCCCTTGAACGAAATGGCTTCCCAGACCATTCCAGAAGGAAGTTAAGAGTCAACCGCATTGCGGCTGATCTGGACTCACGCATGGGCCAGACTGGGTAAGGATGTCAGACATTCTTCCCTACAGGGGTTTAGTGAACCAGATGGATTTTTAATGACAATACAATGATAATTTCACGGTCACCCAGCTGAAACTATTCTATATTTTTTCAAAATGCTTCTTGTTGTGGAATTGGAACCCCCCCTCCCTCCAATGCAAGAGTATTAGCCTACACCTCTGGATCATTAATCCAGTATATCAATCTACCACCATCTCCTCATAAAGATTAGGCCATTTTCCAAGTCAATCCTCAATGTCCTCTTGGTCCTACGCTCTGGAATTCCCTTCTTTGACCTGTGTGTCCCTGTCTCTTAAAGATAAGGACATAAATGTTTTCTGACAAACACATGCAGGCTAGCCGAAGAGGTTTTGGTGTGTTAACAGCACATAGTGCAGTAAGAGGCTGTTTGGCTCATTGAGTCCATGCTGGTTCTCTGTAGATCCAGTCAGTTCCATTTCCACAAGGAGAGTCCCATCTAATAACATTGATGAAAAAAACAAAAGAACTAAATCAGAAATGAAAACAGAAATTGCTGGAAAAAGTCAGCAAGTCTGAGAGCATCTGTGAAGAGAAATTAGAGTTAACATTTTGGGTCTAGTGACCCTTCTTAAGAACTGATGGTAGCTAGGAAAAAGTTGGTATTTATGCAGAAAATATGGTGGGGGAAGGGTTAAGGAGTAAACAATGAGTGGAGATAGACCTCAAAGAGAGAGGACAGTTGGACAGACAAAGGAGTCGATAATGGTCAGCCAAGGAGAATGAATAGCTGCTAATGGGGAGTATTAGTGGCTAACAATGGGTTGTGTGTAATAGCGGACCATGTGATAACAAGGTCTGGTGTTTGCGGGTTGGCCTCAAGCCCTAAAGTCATTGAACTCGATATTGATTCCAGAAGGCAGTGGAGTTTCCAAGTGGAAAATGAGGTGCTGTTCTTTCAGCTTGCACTGAGCTTCACTGGAGCACTTCAGCAAGCCTGAGACAGTGATGTTGGCCAGGGAACATGTTGGTGTGTTGAAGTGACAGGCAACTGGAAGATCAGTGTCTTTTTTTGCAGACAGAATGTAGGTATTCTGTGAAGCAAGTCACCCAGTCTATACTTTGTTTCCCCAATGTAGAGGAGACCACATTGTGAGCAGTGAATGCAGTAGACTTGATCGAGTGAGGTGCAAGTAAAGCACTGCTACTGCACTGCTTCACCTGGAAGGTATGTTTCGGCCCCTGGATACTGAGGATGGAGGAAGTAAACAGTCAGGTGTTACACCTTCTGCAGTCACAGGAGAAAGAGCTGTGAAAGCCATTGGGAGTGAAGGAATGGACCAGGGTGTCACCGAGGGAAAGGTCCTTGCGAAAGGCTGACAAGAGAGAGGGGAATATATGTCTAGAGGTGACATCCTGCTGGAGGTGGTGGAAATGGCGGCTAATGAACCTCTGGATGTGCATGCATTTGGGATGGTAGATGAGGACAAGGGGAACCCTATCGCTGTTGTGGGAGGGAAGAGAGGGTGTGAGGGCTGAAGTGTGGGAGTTGGGTCGGGTCTGGCTGAGGGCCCTGTCAGCTATGGTTCTGGGGAATCCTTGATTGAGGGAGAAGGTGGACATTTCAGGGGTCTACTTGTTGAAGTTGGCATCATCCAAACATTTGCAGCAGTGACAGAGGAACTGAGAGAATGGAAGAGTCTTTACAAGAAGCAGAGCCTGATGTCTGTGGTGGGGAACCCCTTGTAGAAGATATTGAGGGACAAAATACACACATATTTAGAAGAAAATGGACTAGTTAGTGACAGGCAGCATATTTTTGTACAGGGAAGATCATGTCTCACCAACCTGATTGTATTTTTTGAAGAGGTGACAAAGATAATTGGTGAGAGAACGGCTGTGGATGTAGTTTATTTGGATTTTAGTAAGGCATTTGACAAAGTCCCACATAGCAGATTGGTACCAAAACTAAAATCACATGGGAGTTGGGGTGGGCTGGCTAGATAGAAACAAAACTGGCTTGGTCGTAGAAGACAGAGGGTAATGGTGGAAGGGAGTTTTTCAGAATGGAGACCAGTAATTAGTGGTGTTCAACAGGGATCAGTGTTAGGTCATCTGTTGTTTGTAGTATATATAAATGATCTGGAAGACAATATGGGTGGTCTGATTAGTAAGTTTGCAGATGACACGAAGATTGGTGGAATTGCTAATAGTGTCAACGATTGTGAAAGGTTACAACAGGATTTAGATAGATTGGCAACTTGGGCACAGAAATGGTGTTTAATCCAGACAAATATGAGGTGATGCATTTTGGAGGATCAAATTTAGATATGAATTGTACTGTAAATAGCAGAACCTTTATAGGAACACTAGCATACAGACGGATCTGGGTGTGCAGGTTCACAGTTCCCTAAGAGTGGCAACACAGGTGGCCAAGCTGATTAAGAAGTATATGGCATGCTTTTGTTCAGAGTGTGAGGATGTATAGTCAAGATAACTGTGGGAATTGTTGGGTTTGTAATGGATATTGGTGGCCAGCCTATCCCCAGAAATAGAAACTGAGATTTGAGGAAGGGAAGGGAGGAGTCAGAGATGGACCTGGTGAAGGTGAGAGTGGATTGGAAATTGGAAGTGAAATTGATAAACGTTTCCAATTATGGATGAGAGAGAGAAGCAGCACCGATGATATCATCGATATACCAGAGAAAGAGCTGTGGCTGAGGGGTGGAATAAGACAAGAAATGGTCTACATACCTCACGAAGAGACAGGCATAACTGTGGTCCATGCAGGTACACATGGCCACCCATTTGACCTGAAGAAAGTGCGAAGAGTTAAGAGAAGTTGTTCAGAGTGAGGACGAGCTCAGCCAGGTGGAAGGAGGAGGGTGGTGGTGGATGGGGACAGTTCAAGCCTTTTTTCCAGGAAGAAGTGGAAGCCCTAAGACCATCCTGATGGGGGTTGGACATGTAAAGGGATTGCACATCCATGGTAAAGGAGAGGTGGCTGGAGCCTGCACACTGAAATTCTGAAACTGATGTAAAGTATCAGAGGAATCGCGGATATAAGGGGAACAGATAGGACAAGGGGAGAAAAAACTGAATGAAGGCATGAAGAGATGAGTTCTGTGAAGCAGGATCAGGCAGAAACAATGGCTCTACCTGGGCAGTCCTGTTTGTGGATTTTGGGAAGGATGTAGAAGTGAGCTGTGTGGTTTTGGGAGACCAGGAGCTTGGAGGCAATGGGGGAGAGATCACTGGATGAAATGGGGTTAGTGACCATTGTGGACACTATGGCCTGGTGTTCCATGGTGAAGTCATGGTCCGGGGGAGATACGAGGAGGTATCTCAGAACAGCAGTCAACCTCCACAATGTAGAGGTCGGTATGCCACACAGCAGCAACAGCACCTTTGTCAGCAGGCTTGATGACAAAGTCAGGATTGGATCTGAGAGCGTGGAGTGCAGTAATTTCACAGGCAGATAGGTTGGAATGTTTGATGGGGGCAGGGAAATTGAGGTGACCAATGTCTCATTGAACAGGTTGAGTGCAGATAAAAGGGGTGGGGAGAGAGTGTTGGAAATGGGCTAAGGGGTCTGTGGGATATGGGCGAAAGTGATGGAAGAATTCAACATCATATCGTGTCCAAAATTCATTAAATTGGGGACGCAGAGGGATAAAACTGAGACCTTTGCTGAGTGCAGAACATTCAGCATCAGACAGCAGAAGGTCAGAAGGGATAGTAAATACACAACAAGAGGTGGGATCAGGAGAGAGGTTGGAGTCAGAAAGGGAGGGGAGGAAGGTTTCTGAGCCCCTGGGTATTTCGGAGCTGTTGTATCTTTTCTTCCTTGATACATGAAAGGAAACGAAAAACTTTCTTGTTAGCGTGTCGAATGACCTGGAGAATGAAGTGGAGCTGGGGTGCAATTCTGAGCCAGGATGAAGCGGTGCTATTGGAGAGAGAGATCAAGAGTGTGCATATGACAATGCATGACGCTGATTGTGGATCTTGATATGACAAGAACAGCTGACTGAGGAATATTGAACATCACAGAGATATCATCCTGGGTAGATTCAAAACATGAAGGATGAAACTTGAGTTGGAATTCACATGGGGTGAGTCTAAGCCGGAGACAGTCATTGAGGAATGTGATGTGACTATGGAAACATAATTTTAGCAAATATCTTGTCAAACACCAGGAGCGACAGTGACATTAATGACAGGGAACAAGAAAAAAGATTGGAAAATAAATCCTTTTGGAGAGAGGAGCAGAAATATTCTTCAAAGAGGGCATACCTGAGATGCGACAGTGAGTTAAACACTAAATAAAAAATACAAAAGAACTACTGATGCTGGAAATCAGAAACAAAAACAAATTGCTGGAAAAAGTCAAAAGGTCTAGCAGCATCTGTGGAGAGAAATCAGAGTTAATGTTTCAGGTCCAGTGACCCATTTTCAGAACTATCATTGAATCCCTTCAGTGTGAAAGCTGGCCATTCAATCAGTTGAGTCCACACCAGCCTCCTGAAGAGCATCCCACCCAAACCCACCCCCCACCAAATCCTGGTAATCCTGCATTTCCCATGGCTAATCCACTCAATACATCCCTGGACAATTTGGCATGGTCAATCCACTAAACCTGCACATCTTTAGACTGTCGGCGGGAACCAGATCATCCAGAGGAAACCCATGCAGACGCAGAGAGAATGTGCAAACTCCACACAGTCACCCGA